GCTTAGTTCAGCACCCGTTGCACACTACATTCTACAGAAAGGCCACACAAGAAGGTTTGGTTTGAGTTAGACTGAGGTTTAAGCTCAGACAGATCTGAACAAATGTACACCCAGGTATTTTGGGAGACCTTCTGATGAAAATGTAGGCCTCCATGAACTTTCAATCTTGGGAAAGTGTCCTCCAGCTTATGTTTAAACTTTGACTGGAACTCTCTTAGCAACTACCTTTTGTTGACGACCATGTTCCAAATTCCCAAACACTCCGCTGAAAGCCTGCAAAGAAAGCAAGAACAGCTCCTCCTGCCCCAGTACCTTAATGACCAAACATGTCTCTTTCTTTCGGAAATCAATATTAAGGACATCAACTCCGAGATTTGTTCAGAACCCACAGTGAGTGCTTTATCCTTACAGAAATGTTTAAAACACTTTCCAGCCCCCACCCTAAGTCACGGTCCAGGGCCAGAATCAAGGTTACTGACTTCAAGTTATTCCTCTATCTGCCTACCTTTTCCACCCATCAAATCTTTATACTGGCAATAACTTAAAATGGTAGAAAACCTGAGCCACCATGCCAACAAACACAGAAGAGAGCAAAGCTTACTTAGTGCCCTTAAAAAAAAAAATACCAACGTAAATTCTGCACACAGACTGTTGGACAGTGAAAACTGACAACTGAGATAATCTTCCACAGGGCTGAAGCAGACAGAACAAAAAAAAAAAAAAAACAACAAGCCAAAAACTTTATCTTGTCAGTTACTTAACAGCACTGTGTTAACCTCCAGGTGAAAACTCTCCAGTTTCTTTAATTTTCACCATTCCAGAAGGAAACAAGTAGCTTGAATTATAATTAGATCTTTAAAAACAAACAAAACAAAAAATAATAAACTGATGTATCACCATCATGGTCAATTCTATAATTTAAAACACAGTCATTCAGCATGCTTTCTCACTTTGCTGCAACTGATGGCAATGAGGTTCTTCCTTCCCAATTCCCCCTTGCTCCTCCCACAAACCTGTTTTTATGAAAGACAAAATTGACACAAAAGTTGAAGTTCAAAAAAAAAAAGGACATTTTTATAATTTTTATACACAACTGTGTGAATCCCACAAAAGTAGTCAATTATCCAGTTTCAAAAAAAATTGAAAAAGGAAAACAAAAAAGCACATACCTTGGTTTCACAAGGAACACAGATGAAAGAGGGGAGAACTACTAGAAATCCATTATTTCAATGAAAGCAAGGATTTTTGAGTTCTGTCATTTCACTCTGAAATCCTCCCACCCTGACCAAATCCTGAGCTACTTATTTATTTGGTCAATGAAAAATGTGAATTCTTGGAAAAATTTCCTCCTGAAGCTCCAATGTGCCAGATATCCTTGTAATACATGGACACACAGGAACTGTCAACTCCCACAGTACTGCAACCCTCAGGCCCACTCCACATTTAGGATTGTTGTGAGGACAAGCACTCAGCATGAAGAAAGTGGTCCTATAGGTGGACATAACTTATAAGGACAAAAAGATATTCTTGCAATTTTATTTCCAATCTTAAGTGAAGCTGTAAAAACAAAAGTGCTAATGTGCAAAAACATCAATATCTGATATTTCTGCCAATATTCAAAGTTAAACTTTGGGAATGAAGACCAATCTATGTCAATTAAATAAAGCTCTGTGCAACTAAATTTTACAATTTAAAAAGAAAAAAACCAAACTGTTTTCTTTACAGTGAAAAGTAGACCCCAAATGTCAAGAGATCATGAGTATATTTGTACCATGTGAGCACCTGAGTATCCCACTGAAGATGGAAGAACACTTTGCAGTTAAACACAACAAAAAACAGAAGAACAGTTGTTAAAAAATTGGTAGAGATGATATGCCCTTATTTCCCCCAGTATGTGAAGTAAGTTGCAGCATCACTCTTAACAATTCACATGCAGCTACCCTTTTGAAGAATTTATGCTACTAACACAAGCTGTTGTGTTTTTTCCTATGGAGTTTTTCTTTTATGCCAATGACACTTTGTGGAGAAATTCTGAATTGCATTTAGTAAAAAAGCTAAAACTTGTTTGTGCGCTGAACTCCACATCAGCTACTTCCACTGGAAACAATCAGACTAGTCATGTACAAAGCAAAGCTTCTGCATAATCTTTCCTAAGTGTGGGCCTAAGAAGGAAAAGTTAGGCAGGTTGCTTATACAGCCCACATGCATGAATACGTATTTTGTGCTCCCTGGGTAGCACACAGTAGCCTCATTAAAAAGGAGAGGAAAAGAAAATAATTATAAACCACACAGAACAGGCTTAAATTGTTTTGAGACATTAAGCAAAAATAATGGTAGATCACTCACTGTGTCTTATTCTATACTTAAAATATTTCATAAAATTCCATGGGTTTATGTATATATATTTTTATATATGTGAAATACTTTTCAAAAAGTAATTCTCTTTAGTCCCTCCAAACACAGAAGTAACCTGTTACTACAATCAAAGCTAAAAAGAAAAAAAATTAATGCAATACGAGTTCCTGCTCTATCTGAAACCACGGCAAAATCCCTAATAACTCTGGAAGATACACAATAAATCCATGAAAGCTTCACAAAAGCATCAAGCATCAGCACAATTATGACTTCATTAATTTATTTTTTTAATGGAGAGAGAAAACCCTTCCAAGTTCCAGAAGTTTAAAGACCACTACTCTATCCCCCTGAAACAATACTTGGGAAAGGTAAGGGTGAAATGGTGATGGAAGTTTCCCTCTCAATTTAATTCACCAAAGACTAGCTGAACTAAACTACAAAGACCTGCTTTTGAAATTTCCACTGTGTGCAACATTCTTCAACAAGACACCTCACATAAACATAGAAGATGGCAGCAGAATTCTGAGAAACGTATTTATTAATTAAAAGGTACAGAAAATATAGAAGGGAAAATCAGGCAGAATTACTTTGCACATAATGTTTTATTCTCCATTTTAAATTCTTAGTGAATAAGTTGCAGACTCCACCAAGTATTTAAAAGACACAAAAACCTTTACTGTTTTGTAACAGTCTAAAGATACAAGGCCTAATAATGACTGACATTGTCCTTTACTAATCTGAAGCTTTAGCAGCATGACAATTAACAGTTCGGTACTTCAAAATCAGGTAGACACTTAATGTTATCTTTAAAAGAAATACAATGAAACAGCAAAACAAAGCTGTCTGCTGAAATACAAGAGGAAAATGTCTGGGTTCTTTCTAAGTAAGGATTGGCATATGATAAAATATTTCCTGTTTCCTAGGTTCAGACACATTATGTCATCCACCCGTGATCTAAAACTGGTTTGTGTGACTCCACCACCCACCTGCAAGTTTGCAATGATACTTACTTGTCTTCATGGTACCAAACACTGCAGTTGCTCATACTCTTATTAATGGTTTCAAAATCCAAGCACAACAACACTGCAAAATAGCATGGAACACCTGGAAAGCGTAAATCTAAATTGAAAATTCTATTAAATGAATATTCTTACGTTCACCAGTCAGTAATTTCATCATCTGGGATTCCTGATTGTAAGTTCAGGAAATAATGTAGGATCCCATAAGGCTCTGTTCCCACCGGTATGAATGCAGAATTGGGGTCCCAGTTTCCTTTCACACAGTCTGTTGTTCCTGGAAAAACTCCTTTGTGAAATCCCAGCTCTAAAATTGGGATATCATCTCCTATATACATAAAAGTATCTCCAAGCACAACAAAGTAGTTCAATATAGTAACATTTGGTGAGCATTTTAATGAATACAGGTATAAGATACTGGGGTACAGAAGGGAATCATAGTTCCCTGTTATCAGCTGGGAACTCCATTAGTTACAGCAGTGAGACACCTTTTGCAAAAGGGGAATTACCTAATTACATAATACACAGGAATTGCTGAGCATGCTACAGTCACCCTACCTGTAGCTCCAAAGAAACACACACACACACAGTGTGAACTGGAGGGATTACCTTTTTTTTCTTTTTAACTAAATGAAATAATTTCACTAACAGCTGGAAAACAGTCTTTTAAGGAGCTGAACATACAGATGGCAGTTTTACAAATCAATCCAAGAATATCCAGGTGCCTATTAATGTAAGAACCACCACTGCAAATGCACAGAGCTTAAAAAAAAACCCTGATGGATTGAAAAGCAAATTTTTAAAAAGTATATTCAAATATTATCTGATTCTCTTCCCAGATATGTTTGGCTCTCCCCACTAATCCAAACACAGGTATCCTTCACTCTTTTACTTGGTCTTAGAAAAGCAATATAAAAACAAGCAATATTAAGAAGTAATATACACTCCTAAGCACATCACTTTTACTTACTGAAAGACTTTATTCTGGAGATAAGATTTGGAAGTCTGAAGTTAAGTTACAACCCTTTTGTAGAGAGAAAGAAAGGTAACAGACAACTCTGAAGAACATATTCTTCCCTTCTACACAAACACGCTGTTGTTTGGAATGGGGTGGGAAGAGTTTTACCGTCATCACAACAGTCATAGGCTGAGGCAACCATGAAGTTTAGTGTTGATGCTGGAATGGAAACACCACTGTTCAGCACTAATCTGTAGCACCAGCAAGTGATTCACTACAAACACTGTGACAAATCATGTGGACTGGTGAGTTTTGTATACTCCCTGGCATTTGCCTCTTCCAAGTGAGCTGCCTCACAGCTGTCCCAGGGCCTGGGTGATTGCAGAGGATAGGAACAAGCAAAGTGGATGAAAAAGCTTTTTTTATTTAATTAAAAACTGAAACTCTCTAAGTGAAAGAAGACATGTTGTTCACGCACCTTGAGAGAAGAGGGCACACACTCCCCATTTCTGACAAACAAAAAAAGAAGGAAAGCGAGAGCGGAGGCTTCAGAGGGTGGGCTTCACACCCACCACCCCAGACCTCCCCACAAAGAACAAGCAGCACAGCAACGAGGAGAAAGAGAAAAGCAGCGAGAGGCCACGGCTGTGTGGCGGCGGCTCGAAATTTACCTGGAAATCAGCCAATATCATTTCTCGGTCCATGTTGGACGCCATTGCAGCCAGCTGCGTCCCGGCTCTGCTCGGACCCGCGCACCTGGAGCCGCTGCCGCGGGGAGGACGGGGCAGGGTGGGAGCTCAGGAGCTCATGGAGGCGCCGCGCTGCGCTCGGGCTCCCGCGGCGCCCCCGGGCTGCCCCTCCCGGGGCCGAGGAGGGGAGGAGGCAGGAGAGCGGCGGGCCGGGAGCGGGGCCGGGAGCGGGCAGCGCTGCCTCAGCCGCTGGCCCGGGAAGGAGGAGGAGGAGGAGGAGAAGAAGGAGGAGGAGGAGGAGGCAGCGCCGCTCCCCGCCTGCCTCCACAGCGCCTGTGTCGCACATTTTGCCTGTCATTGAGGTCGCAAAGAGGCGCTTTGCGGCCGCCACGTGACCGCCCGCCTGTCAAGCGCTCCCGGAGCCGGGGGCGGGACCGAGCCGAGCCGGGACCGGGGGCCGAACCGCGCCCGGGCGGCACCGGAGCGGAGCGGCGAGCCCCGGCCCGCGCCCCGCCGGTCCCCCTGTGTCCGGCGGCGGACACATCCTCGCGTCCCGTCCCGGGTGTTGGTGGCTCCCCGGGCCCGGCGGCAGTGCGGGCTGTCCCGGCTGGGCTCCGCCGCCGGCCGCGGCCTAACGGGTCTGTGGGGATGTGGCTGGGGCCGTCCCCGGGCGCTGCGGGGAAACGCGGGTCGGTGCAGCTGCCGGGCGGAGAGCGGCCCTGCCTCTCTGTGCGGGAGAAAGGCATCCATCCATCCATCCATCCATCCATCCCTCCCTCCCTCCCTTCCTTCCTCCCTTCCTTCCTCCCTTCCTCCCGTCCCTGCCCCTCTCCCTCCATCCCCGGCGGTTTCGGTGACTGCAGCGGCTCGATCCCGGCGCGGGTCGCGTCCCCTCCGATCCCCCGTGACTCGGTGCCCGCACGGCACGCACCGCCCGGCGCTCGGGGGAGCGGTGACTTCTCCCCCGGGTTCCGACTCGGCTCAAAAGAAGGAAATGCATTTTTCACAGGTTTTTCTGAGCCAACACACCGTGATCTGCACAGGGGCCCTCGCTCAGGCTTAGCACTCCAGCACTGTAAGATGCAATTATATTATATACCGCAAATAAATCTGCTTTAAGTAATGCAAATCTAACTGTAACTGATGCATTCTAAGTCTGCCTCCTGCAACCTGATGTTCATGTACCCTCTTAGCACCAACATAAAACACACATTTGGACGCCAGCTTGCTAATTAGTCCAACATGTTTTGCTCTGCTTTTTGTAAGAGTGTCCTGTGAGTGTCGTAGCTGAGGTCAGAGATGCATCAAGCAGCTTTCCTGACAGCTAATAACGCTACATTATGACACCTTTGACTCAAGATGTTTTGCCGGGTTTAGGAAGCAGCGTTCTTTATTGTTTCTCTCCTCCATCCGCGAGGGTTGCAGGGAGGTTTCGCGGACTCCGCGAGCTCCCTGCCGCCGCTGGCCCCGGGGGGAGCCCGGCGCCACCGCGGACAAACGCTGCGTGCGGAGAGGGGCGCAGGGGAAGCTCGACTGAACCTTCAGGAGGCTCCGTGATCCCGAGGGAAACCCTGGGAATCGCTCAGAGCCCGTTGCGGACGCTGCTGGGGAGCGCGGGCTCCAGGGCGCCTGGGCTGGGTGTCTGGCGGCGGCGCTCCGGGCGGGCTGAGGCCACACGGAAACACCGCTTTACCATTCAAAGCCAGTGTCAGAGAAGTTGGGTTTTACATTTTACCCTGTTCCTGCTCTAGTTTATGTTGGCAGGGCTTGCCAAAAGGTTTTTATTGCCCGCTGACGTGAGCTTAACAATGCGAGCTCCCCACCACCGACTGGAGGGATGATAAATTAATTGCCCTCACACCTGCACGGGGTTTTTTTCCCCCCCAGTTTGATGTTACAGACAGTTCTGTACTGAGTACGAGGTATGGTGCAATGCCAGGGACAACCTATGCTAAATTACAAACAAATCCACCCACACATTACTAGAGAGTAACTACAATAAAGGCTGAAAAGCAAGTTTTAGCAATTGGATTAAAGCCAATTAATTCCTGGCACGAATTGAAGCTATAGGTATGTTGTCAAGATTAGTAACACGGCATTCATGTCTATTACAGTCATATTTTAAATAATGATATCTATATTAGATCAAAACAGGAAGGATTCGATCCAGAACATGAAGAAAAGGTGAAAAGCTGCACGTGCCCCACATCGCAGGAAGTTCACATTCAAGTCACAGCTAAAGTTTCTGTTTGCCTTCTCACAGCCTCTCTGAGCCATTCGAGGTGGGTTTTATCCTCCAACGAGTGAGAGACAAATTAGGGAGCTGATTATTTTACTCCTTATAGTGCCCGGTGATAATATCTTCCTCCAGAAGTTGTTTGGTTTTATATTTTTTCTGCTGATTCTGGAGCCGATTGGGACAAATCTCTCTGTTTTAGGTGGAGTATCTTTATCACTCATTAGAGGAAATGATCAGGATTAACGAACTGCTTTCTGCAAAGACTTTTGGCAGACCTGCATGGTAGAGGAAGTTTGATGGCATTTTCTGGCCAGGCAGCTTTACTTGCAGGAGGCCTGCAGCACTCTAGCTACACTTTACCTAATTATTTTTGCTATGTCGCATGATTAACAGAAGGTTGAAATTTTATTCTGAACTGTAAACCAACAAAAAAAAAGTGTGAGACTGTTGTAATATTTTCAGGTCTAATTCTGCACTAAGTTAGCAACAAGTACCACCACCAAAGCCTGTGGATTTTAGGCAGTAATTAGTCACAAAGTAAGTAATTTATAAGCCATCTGACTGAATAATCCAAGTTTTACATATAGATTCCCTCTTGATGCAGAAAAGCAACCGTATTTGAATAAATAGATGCTACTTGCATACATATATTTCTAGAGCTAATTTTGAAGGAAGTTATAATTTATATTTTTGCTTTTAAAAAACGTGGAAAAATGAGGGGAAAAAGCACTATTGCTTCTGGACGAGAATTACCACAATGAGGCCCTTAAAAATACACGTGTTTTTTTCTCTCCTTTAGTGGGAATGGGAGCGGGGGTTCGGTTGATAAACTGAACCAAGTTTTTTTCCCTTCTTCGTGTGTACGCAGCTCACGCTTGTAACCTTTGTAACATTCACAAACAAGCGTGGATGGGGGAATCAGTACAGGAAAACACAATTGCAAAGCAAAAAGCAATCGAAGCTGAGAGGAAAGCCAGATACAGAAGTCTGGCTTGGTTCAGCTGCAGATTCGCTGCTGTGGAACCGGCTCTGTTTGACAGCGGCGGCCCCGATTCAGGCCCCGGCCATCTCCGGCCCCTGCCCGGCTGCCAGCGGCAGGTTCCCCCCGCAGGGCAGTGCTGGAGGAGCTGGAACTACCACAGGTTCCCTCCTTAAAGCACCTCCCGGAGCTACCTCACGCCTGTTTACATTCAAAATCACTTTCCCGTGGCGTCCACGCAGAAAACAGACGGGCAGATCGCCCCTGCGAGCGATGGGTTACGTGTGCTTATCAGGGAGCCATGACATTGCTGCTTACCTCTCGGAGGGTTCGCTTGGCAGAATTCAGTCCTCCGAGGGTCCCTGAAACCTAAAGCAATCCAGCCATTAAAGCACTTTAAGACACACAATACTGTTAGGCAGAGTGGCGGTGACATCCCCGTCCTGTGCCATCCTCACTTCTTCGCTCTAGGAAGGAAAAGCGAAGTCCTCGCGTCCTCTTGGTGCCCGGGCGCCGTTCCCCTTCAAAATGGCACTTTCAAATCAATCAAGGACACCAGAAACGCGGGAAGCAGGGAGTGCTGCCGTGGACGGTCGCCTTCCACCGTCAAGACAACTTGACATTGACCCTTTATCCTTGACCTTGTCCTCAGGATGAGAAAGGAACCCGCGCTGCAGCCGGGGTGGCCCCGAGCGTGGAGCCGCTGCCCGCGGGGAGCCGAGCTAGGGCGAAGGGACCGAGACTGGGACCGGGACCGGAGCCGGCTCCGCTCCCCCCGCGGGCAGGTGGGCACCGCCGGGGAGAAGCTCCGGGCAGCGTCGTGGCAGAGGCCGCCCGCCCGAGCTCCCCCGATCCCGCTCCTCCCGCCGGGGTGCGGCGGCTCCCGCTGCTACAACCTCCTTTTCCTTTCATTTTCCTCCCCCCAGGCCTCAGCAGCGCTGCTCCTAAGAGCAGCCGGGCTGCGCCGGCTGTGGCGGGGAAGTGCCGTGCCCGGGCTGCGCGGAGAGGGGACGGCACCGGGCGCCGCGGAGCTGCGGCGGCTGCGGCCGGAGCGCGGCGGGGCCGGGCGAGGGGCGGGCGGGAGCCGCTGCAGGCCTTCCTGCCCGAACTCCGCCGCGCCTCCTTAAATCTCTGCCGTTAAAATGTGGGCGGGTGTTTCAACTCAAAAAGCGCTCAAATTTTTTTTCTTTTCAAAAAAAGCTGATGAGGTTAAAAAAAAAAAAAAAAAAAAAAAGGGGGGGGGGGGGGGGGAAGAAGGAGAGCGAAACCGGCTTCGTGTCCTTAGGAAACAGAAGTAGCGATTGTTTGTGCTTAAAAAAGGGGGAGCGCAAAGCCGCGGGCGGAGGCGGCGGCCGCGGACCGGCAAGTGCAGCTTTATTTCGCGAAGTTGGAAGAGGAGGCGAGCGGGGCTGTCAGTGCGGCTGCGAACGCGGCCGGGCCGGGGCAGCGGCGGCACCAGCGCAGCCCCTGCCCCCTCCAGGAGCTCGCCCCGCGGCCGCAGCGGGAGGAGCGGCTGTCCCGGGGAGCGCCCGGCGGAGCGCGGACAGCGGGATCCCGGCGGACGGCGGCGGAGACGGCTCCGCGCCGCGGCTCCTCCACGCCCTGAGCGCGGGCGGCGGTTCGCGGCAGCCCCCCCGCGCCGCCCGCCGCCCTCCTGGATGCTCCGGAGCCGCCGCCGCCGGGGGCGGCCGCCGGCCGGGATCGCGCCCGCCCGCTGCGCGGGGGCTGCGCGGGGCCGCGGGAGTGAAGCTGCTGCTGCTGCTGCGGGGAGCGAGAGCGCCGAGGGAGCGAGCTGGGCGCCGGGACAGCCGCAGCCGCCGCGCCCGGCCCTCCGCGGGCGCGGCTCGTCCTTCCCTTCCCCGCTGGGCCCGGACTAAGGCGACGGAGTGGGATGAAGGGGGCATCCCGAGCGGGAGTTGGATGCACACTGCTACAGGAGACCTTTCCATGGAGCTGCT